GATTAGCTGAAACTGATTGTACTTTCATGTCGTTCTTGCAACTTTCATGAATTATCATTGAACAAGGTGGGATGAGGGTTATACAGAAAGCTGTATAGTAGACCAGTCCTTGCTGTTGAACAACGCCAGCCTTGGTAACAACAAGTACCACCTTTTAACGTCTTGCGGTATGACGCGGCCAAGGGATCAAATCCCTCTATCCACAAGGCCAGGGAGGCGGTCTTCATATATGCATTTCTAAGTTATCGTGAGGATGGTTTAGAGAAATCTTTTGGATTTTGAAAATCCTCTGTCAGCAGAGACCATAAGCCTTACAGCCATTGAGCGTCATTCCAGGCATCTATCACTGCGTTGTGGGGTAGCCTCGTGGTTAAAGCGTTCGCTCATCACGAAGAAGACCCGGGTTCGATTCCCCACATTGGTACAATGAGTGAAGTCCATTTCTGGTGTCCCCCGCCGTGATATTGGTAAAAGCGGCGTAAAACTAAACTCATTCATACATTCATTTCGGGAAACAAACCCGTTTCTACTCGTGACGAGCGAACGCATGTGAGTCACCATCCCTTCCTTCTCTCTTCTGAAGCCGACATCACGTCCAGTGAATGACCGAGTCTTGACATCTCCAGATCTCAATTAAGAGCATCGTGCATGTGGATATCTCATCGAGTGAGTGAGTTCAGGTTTACTCTGCTTTTACAAGATGCCTTACAGCCATTGTATCTACGTTTGGAATCGAACCAGGATCTGCGGCGTGACGAGGTAGCACCTTAACCGTTGTGCTACATGGCGGCCCTTGACAGTATTCGTGGTGCTATTCGTAACTTATATCATTAAAGATAAAATCAGATCGTCGTGGTTATCTGACGCAACAAGTACAAGTCGATTTAAATCAGTCGAGTCAGAATCAAATGCTAACGCCATCGTTTTGTGAAACGTAATTATACGTTTGTGGAGGCGGCTTGTACCATCCGAAGAACAAACGTGTCACGAGAGGAGACTGGCTAGCGTTGTTGAGGGGGATATAGGCGGCCGATTGTTATGCAGACTGCGAGATGCGACGGGTCAATCCCGACAGACAAGACAGCGACTACTGTGTCTGCACTATCATAACACAATGGTCAGTAAATCATCGCAGTCATTGTTGAATGGTTAAATTAGCAAGGACGATACAGTGAGGATCAGTGTAAGATGACGAGCGGGTTGGGGAAGTCAAGAGGTACGTGAGAAGATGTCTCCCGAAATCAGGTGATTACGTGGCAACCGGGCGAGACGTGGGGGACAAAACAAGGATCTTGGGAAGGACATTGGGAGCAATGGGAGAAGTATGGGGACGCGGGGAGGGGTAGCAAGAGAAGAGGGAGAGTTCAAGGGAGAAGTGGCAAGATGGCTCCCAAATATGGATTCACATCAGAGGAGTCCGTCGGATAGATGGGGAAGTAGATGTTCAATAAAACAAAAGTAAAAACGACAGAGGCGCAATGGGGCTTGATGCTAGGGTGGGGAAATATAGGGTGCATGCTCATGGTAAACTATGGCAGAGGGTTTACCAAGAAGGCATGACCGTATTGTCGTGGTACCAAATACATGTGAAGTGGGGATAAACGCACGGATGGTTGACGTTCAGCGACCGCGAGGAAGGGTTTTACTTGGAAATGGGATGGTGAGGTATCAAGATTCGTACTGTCGTTGAGGACTAATTGGTGGGATTAACAGCAAATGAGAGAAGGCAGATTAATGTAAAATCGAAAAGAAGGTACCTGTGACAGGGAGACAAAAAGCTCCTTTAGCGGATGTTCCATTGGAAGATCTTGGGGCAGTTCAATGTTAAGGTACGAGGTACGGCGGTGTTGTGAGAAACAGGGGTGTTAAGTTGTGATTTGAAAGGTATATGAGAAATTGATGTATTGTAATGTATGGAGATGTGACGTCGAAAGGATGTAATGGCGGGCTTGCGACGTGGGTTGGCGTCGTGGCCATATTTCTCAGAGGTTTCAGGTCGTCAGGGTTTCACAAGTGACTGAGCACGCTGGCAGTTGTCGGGCGGGAGGAATCTGTAATTGACCATGTTTTCCCCGTGATCAAAGAGACAGGGCCGATAATTTACACACTGGGCTAAAGAGGTGGGCCACTCAGCGCTGTAGACAACCAATACAGGAGGGAGTAGGCATTAGGAACCGTGTAATTGGAGACACTTATCTCCCTCCACGCTTCACGGACTTCAGTGAAAAGTATACTTACACAAATAGCTGGCCCATTCTTTCTATGTATCACGATTTTATCAAGTTTTTCACCTGGAGACGTTCGTGTTGCCTTCACGCCTCAGCGAATTATCTACCACGACACCTAAAGGCTGGATTCGTTCCTCAGGCGGGGCTTGAGGTCTTGCACGTCAACCACCAGAGCCCAGTTTGGAGGTCTGTTCCTGATTGGCCCAGACAAGTAGGCCTTAGATAACCAAACATCTGTCGGGACGAGTTAACTGGGTGACTGAACGCCAAATGTCAACAAGATACTCCGTTTTCAAACCAAGTTGGGCAGAATAACAGTGTCCCATTAGAAAGGCATCCATTGGCCTAGCACTGCATTAATGAGTGATTTGAGGCATAGGGATTACCCGGAGTGTAGATGGCGCTCCGACTCCGGTACTCGTCCATTGACGATCGAAGACCGGAACAAGAAGGTTGTCCACGCTTCGTGGGCACAAATAACGCCGTCTACCTGGATTGCTCCCCGTATGCTCACTAATCTTCGCGGAATGCAACCCTTTTCGGATCACTGGTGTATTCTCCTCGATGTTGCCTTTATACCGATATGACGTTACAGAACAATCAGTATAATTGGATCGGCGAATTTATCGCCATGTATGCTCGGTGTCCTTGGTAGATCTTCTCATGGGTAGCAGATTAGGCCGCGATAGGTAGACTGAATGGGCTACAGATGAAAATGAACAGGATCCAATGGTCGACCAAATCTCTCTTAAATAATCCCTTTTACCGTACGCCTATAATCTCACAATGACAGGAAGATTGAATATCGGAAGTTTGCAAAAGACACAGCAAACGGTAACACTTCATACTTTTCTTTGGATGAGACTGGACTCTGGTTGTAGACTCATGAATGCCGGGTGCCCTATCTAGTCTCCATGATATTCCGTCCTTGAAACAGAGACCGCCGTTAGCTGAAATCATCGTGACCGACGACTCGACATCATCATGCTGAATGGATGGATTACAGAATCTTCCATGCTTACAGTTATCCTCGTCTTGTTTACTGGCTGATTTGGAAAGGCAGACTAAGGTGATTGTTTCCGAGACAGTCAAGGATCTTCGTGCTTTGAACCTGCGGCTCCGTACTTCGTCACATGGATGATTAATTCCAATAGCAGTGAAGAAAAAATGAACACGAAAATTGATCTAAATTTTCACAAATATATGACATTAATGGAGTGTTGTTTTTTCGCAGTAGTCCGTAAAATAATGAACCACATCGCGGCGCCTGTAAATATTCGAGAGTTAAGTGGCCAGTAAATCTACATAGCAGACCTCGTAGTCATCCGGGTTTCATATACTGGGCCCATCCGCTCCCCATCAGCAGTCTAGAATATCAATAAACCCAATTTTGTCTGGATTATTATGATCCCGTTTACAGAATATGTAAGATAACGGATTCCTAATGTTATAATGCTACAGTTATCCTTTGTAATCGCGAATGATGAATCCTGTAGAATACAAACTAATTGGAGCCGAGAATAACATCCCCAACCTAGCCTACACCAGGAAGTTACTCAGTGGGACACATACACTGGGTTTCCCTTCCTGATATAACCATTCCCATGAATAACAGGAACTTTAAACCTCCATGGTTAACATAACACGACAATAATAATTTAACGAGGAATAACTAATTTGTATGAAGGCATTTATCGAAATACATAGTAGGATGAATAAAAGATGACGCCAGAATATCATACTGTCAGATTGTCTTTACCTGTGAAGTCAACATGTTATGTTCACGCGTGACAAATCATGTACAAAATATTCACTACGACGCCTAGCACCTGGTTGATTTTACCTGCATCAAATGCGTGAATAACTTCCGCGTCGCGATGTCGGATGGGGTTGCACGTGCAGGCAAACTGACAAATCGCTGTGCGTGTCACTACTTCGTTTAACCGGTTGTGATACGCGCTTTACGTCAACTACATCACACGCCATTAACACACTCGATGATCGCTAACAGCATTTTGAGAAACTGACGAATAAATGAGCCGAAAGGATATTTCTTCTCTCGCACCAAGAAACATCCAATTAACGCCTGTAGTAAAATATCCCACAAGTGTGATCCAGATAAATGATTCTCTAAATATCAAGTTTGTCTTCAACATTTGCTTTGATCTGAAGTTCAGAATGACTGATAAGATTGCCTTCCTGCTTTTACAAGCATTACGTATTGTTCATATACTCATAAATATTATTTAATATTTTCACATCAATATTGATAGGAAATACAATAAATAACGGTTATCCTAACATTTTGGAATATACTTTTAGAAGAAATAACTGTTAAGATATGACTTTGTTCTTCCTTAAAAGCGAAAATATTAAACACAGAACTATCCACTTAACTAATTATTCACCGATGCTAACAAATCACAGTACTATACACGTTTTAAGAGTGGGAATATCAAGGAAAAAACAGTCTAGGGGAGACAACTCCTGTTATAAAAGGGTCTTGTTGGCGTGGAAATCTGCACTTCACTGTTCGATTCCCGGGAAAACGTAGCAAAACTTTTTCGGATTTACTGTTTTGTTCCTGCAGTCCTCTGATCTCTGACCAATAAAATGTGTAAAAATGTTGCATTGTGTTTTTCAACTATATCTTTTTATGACTGTCATTCTGTGAAAACGTACACCCATCAAATAATTTAAATTTAAACAGTATATCTTACAAAACTCTATCATTTGTTGATCTCACTCGAAAGAGAAACGAGACATCTCAACTTCAAAGTCAGACTTTATCACAGAGCTTGTACAGGTACAATAACATTTTCTGCAAATGAAATATATTTTACATTTTCCATTCGATAAAATACCATGGCAAAAGTTTGCACGAACAATCAGCAAAACTTTCACTGCAGAATGGACATAATATGCGTCAACATTTGCAAATCTTGTGTGTACATGTCCAATCAAATATACTCTCAATAGCCTTAGTGACAAAAACATCCTTGTATAACCACCATACCATTGGTACCCTACAGTGCTCATCAGAGTCTCCCACTTTCACAAGTGTCTTGATGGAAACAAGTTCGTGTAGAAACTGTTCAGTTTCTCAAGACCCTTAGAAAGTATTCTGCACTGCTCCAACAATATATCCAACATATTTATTTAACCATTATCCCAAGGTCACTTACAATGGTACGACCGTCTTGTGTTGTGCCAGAATATAGCCAATGGGACAGTACATTTTCATCCACTCACAGATTATTTTATTGGTGGTTAATTTGAAGCTGTAATGTTCTATTCCACAAATATAGCACTGAATTAATCATAGCAGGTCACAAGGATCTGTATCTTCCAATTCCCATCCCAGTAAAAAGGATTAAATGGCTACTGCAATGAACTCATGCTGACATGTTGGTTTCAGTGACAAGATTCCATTCTAGTGACACAGGATTCTACCAATGTGTGAAGCTGTATATTCTCTGCAAAGATACTCCATAAACATTTTATATTTGCAGGATATATAGGTTGTTTTTATAGAAAGGTGAATAAAAATACCCTAACCAAAAACCCAAATCCAACTTCCCAATGAGTTCCTGACTTTGTAAGCATAAACTGAACCAATATTAATACGTTGAGGCCATTGTTGTGTCAAAAACGTGTAGTTCCACCTGAAAAAGTTCTTTGATAAAGGATACATTCCAATGGACTGTGATGACATGGAGATCAAAGGCTGTGCATATCATATCAATATTGAACCTGAGACTTCAGAGGAAAACATTCAAGATTTAAAAATCGACTTATAGAAAGGATCATACATACTATTCATCTGTTCGAGATTAGATGCCGAGTGCCATACAAACAACCACACATACAGTTTTCAAAGCCAGCCTGTCTAGAAAGCATGTTTCAGGCAAAATAACATTTTAGGGCCAATATTACTTCTGTCCATGGTTGCCCAGATATCCTTCATGTTAAGGTCCTACTCCTGTACTGAACTGACATGTTGAATGAAGACTATCCTAAATGAACCGTAATGTATTGCCTGATTTCATACAAGCTGGCATTTTCCCCTTAAACATAATATTGCTTTTAAACCAACATTCTCAAACACATACCAATTCCATAACAATTACCATGGCAATCTGGTATATTCACTAATGCTGAGAAACCAACTCAGGTATGTATGTACATGGTAAGTAATAAATTCACAACAACCTTCAACATAACACTAACATTGTCTGAAACTTTGTATTGTGTTGCCAAATTCTCAGTAGTAAATATACATTCCACAGAATGAAATATATATTTATATATTAATATGTATGAAATAATGTCAACATGACCATGGATATTTCATCCTGAGCGTTTCAATGAGGAAGTGACCTGGAATATGAATAAACACGATTTACATTTATTTAATGTGCGATATTGCATCTGGCAGTGTAAATGGTCATCCAGTGTTTCAAAATCAGACAAGGTCAGAGTAAATTAACTTTGAGATTTCATTCTTTTTACATAAACAAATTTGTCACAAGACACAATACTTGATGATACTTGTAACGAACTAACAGAAGTATATTTGTTATCCAGATTAAGATAAAAAGAGTGCCCAAGTACTGTAGCTCATCTGGTCGTCACTTTAGAACATAAAAAGACAACCACTTAGAAAACCATTTTGAGTGCATTTAGGAGAAGATCCAAGTGCAAGGGTCAAATCGAGGACCAAACTCATAATGTCAGCATTGGAGGCTGAGCCAGACTACCAATGACACACACTGGGAAATTAATGGAGTTTCAGCTTTCGGTAGGGAGAAAGTGCAAAGGCCTGATATAATAATAACATTAATTGCTATACTGTAATCTGTAATTGCCATACAGAGCTCTTTCAGTTTCATCATAATTGAAAATTGGGCTGGAACCTCAAGAACAAATTCAGGACTTATCATTGGTTGGAACAAGCATCTAAAATACGATATTTGTTTGGTCCAGTGTTTTCTGATGGGATGATGTTTACAGTGCCTGCAAATGATTGACGGAAATATTTAGGAGCAGGGTGATGTCAAAGGTCAAAGAAAGGTCACAACTTAATGGCAGACACATTGAAAGTCAGATTCAAACCTCTTGAACAAATTTAAGTGTCATCAATGGTGGGATGAAGATTGTGAAGTTTCAGCTCATTAAACCTTTGGGATTCGGGAGATGTCTGCAGATGCCACCAATGGGAACTGATGCTGGATGAGGACAAGCAGGCTATGACCTTGGCTCACTTGACTTATAATCATATGTCCTGACCAGTCCATGCCACGGACAGCCAATTAATATTTGAGTTAAACCTTTTGTAGATAAAATATTTCTTTTAGCCATTTCCATAATGAAAGGAGGTCATTATGCATCCTGCAGTTGTATTGAAAGAGATGTTGTATTTTGAATATTAATAAGGATATGTCATCTATTCAGATATTGAAAGCCTGGGCGATTAATAACCTAGTAGCTTGGTTTATTTTGTTTGTCAAAACTATGGTTTCGCAAGTAATATTAGTTCAGGGATAACTGTAACAAGACATTTTATGAAACAAGGACACAAAACTGCTTCATCTACAAAATAATGGATATTATGGTAACACACAAAGCATACAGGTCTTCCTATTTCAGCATATGGTGAAATCAGAGAAGGTTCATCAACTACAATCACACACACCAGAGAGTAATACATTGTCCAGAACCAACAATTGTTTACTTAGAAAATAAGAAAATATTCTCATGTTCCTCCAAATGTTTGTGAGCAATTTCATTGTAGACACAATGTATTTATATATATGTTTGTATTGGTCTTTACACATGTGTGTGACTGGATCAGTATCCTTGGAGGGGAGATGCTGGGGTGGATGGGGACACAGAAGTCAGGCTTGTGGGTGGATGGGGACAAGGAAGTCAGGCTTGTGGGTGGATGGGGACAAGGAAGTCAGGCTTGTGGGATGATGGGGACAAGGAAGTCAGGCTTGTGGGTTGATGGGGACAAGGAAGTCAGACTTGTGGGTTGATGGGGACAAGGAAGTCAGGCTTGTGGGTGGATGGGGACATAGAAGTCAGACTTGTGGCTGGATGGGGACACAGAAGTCAGACTTGTGGGTAGATAGGGACATAGAAGTCAGACTTATGGGTGGATGGGGACAAGGAAGTCAGGCTTGTGGGTGGATGGGGACATAGAAGTCAGACTTGTGGGGTAGATAGGGACACAGAAGTCAGGCTTGTGTGTGTGTGTGTGTGGGGGAGATAGGACAAACAGGCAGGCATCAGTGGTGATAGGGACACAACAGTGAGGTTTTGGTTGAGGACATGTTTAACCTGGGGTGAGGGTTATGACGGGAGTGCACACTGGGTTCAGTGAGGTGATGGTCATTTTGAAGGTAGAGTCTGATTGCAGTGTGAATCTGTAGTCCTGGATGATGGGTGCCGAGTATGAGACAGCAGGCAAGGAGATGGTATAGCTGGGGAAACATTACCACCTGTTGGGAATGGGGAGGATGGGAATGGGGCACTTGGGTGACATGGGTAGAACTATTCCAAACTTCTAGGAACTTGAATGGGGACAGTTTTGTGGCAGCTGGCACACTGTGACGGTCGAACGGGTAGGACTGGTACAAAACTGTTGTTTGTACGCAGCTGGGGCAGGTGGACAGCCATATTAAAACGGCGGCAATTGGACAGGAGAAAGGGTGGGGCAGGGTTCTGGGAGCGGCTTTCTAAACATGGATTGGAGAACATATATCACCATGTAAAATAATTAGCAGATGTATTGTGTCCCTTGCTTCTATACATCACAAACATCAGAAGGTTCCAGTGATGAATTAAACAAGGGAAACAACATCAATAGCTCATAAAATAAGATAAAAGCAAGAAACTGACACCATGTCAACTTGTCACAAACATTTCTGATTATATTACAAATTGCCATGCAGCACTAATTGAGTCACATTTGCAAGTCAGCAAAGTAACTTTCCATTACGAACTTGGCCACCAAGTCACAGTCTCCAATCGTCCTTTATCAAAGGAATATTACTGGATTCCATAGGCAAGCATCTTCAATCAGATCGCCTCCATCACTGAGAAGCAATCTCCTCATCTAACCTTAATGATCACTGAATGAATCTGCACCTATATTTTACGGCCTCTGTTGAGAAATAGAAAAGATTTCCACAAAAATCCGTTCAATATTTCTCAAATATTAGAATCCTGTGTTGAATGAGAATCCTATTCTGTACGCAGACTTCCACCGGTACAAGAGAGGCTGATGACTCTGAAGAGTCTTCCATACCATCAGAAGACCTGATGACTGTCTGGCATCAGACTGCTAAGGTTACCCGACTCTGAGATAGGCTGTCCCAGATACTATCTGGATAGTACATGTCTGGATTCCTTTGCATTTATTGTGAAGATCAGTCCCTGATCTGGTGTGGTAGTCTCAACCTTTGCTCTTACAGACATCCTTCCAGCGGGAGGCAAAGTCAACAATGTTCTCAATGCTTACACCTGGAAACAGAAACATAATATGGGTATTGGTATAGATAGTGTTTCAAAGATCAACATAATCGACAATTATACTGTACTGAGTACCAGAAATGTTGCAATCTGTAATATATTACAGGGTGGGGAAAATAATGACCCTCCCATGATGCTTGTCATATTGTTCAACATGCCCAATTTCCTTGTACATTATTTTCAAGATCCTCCATGGAAAGACAAAATGGAAAAGCACTTTATATTGTATAATGTATCTTTTCATGCTCCTCCCCAAATATGTGTAACGTCTTTAATGACTTTCCTCTTGAGTCTCTATCCTTAATTTGGAAAACAAGAAGACAAAGTCATCAATATCCCCCCCAATGGCAAAATACTCTTCATGATTATGTCTACGAGTTATGATTATGTCAAATATTTAGGTGTGTATATAGAAAAGTGGAAGGAGAGTATTGAAACGGTTTTAGAGTTCTGCTCCGGAAAAGAGCACTACCACTAATTTCAGTCTAAGTTAAACTTGTTGCCATGGAAATGCCAAAAATATTTTATTCAGAATTCCAAAACTACCAAAAGGCACCAGTACACCACCAGATCTATCTATGTGCCAAGTTTGGTGAAGAAATAGTGAACAGTTTTAGAGTTCTGCTCCGGAAAGACAAATGTGCATGGACGGACGGACGGACGGACGCACGCACGGACGGAGTCCATTTTAATACCCCGCAAAACGCGTTGCGGGGGATAATAAGTCTTGGTACACAAATGTGTGGCTCTGGACTTGCCCTCTATTGATGGGAGAGTACGGTATGTAGCATGACTTGACGATATCCTACTGATGCCTAAACATATGGACTAGCTGATGATGTTTTGGTCATATGGACAAGGCATCTGTTATTGTATAAATCACAGATCTGGCTTAAATCACAGATCTCCACTATTTCATGGCCGCTACTTTTGCAGTTTTGCCATATGATAAAACCAAATGATCTGACATAAGGAAGACATACCTTCTTGCTGGCTGGCTGCGATGGCGTGTCTGATTGCAGGGAGCGTCTGTTCTGTGTCCAGCTGGTGGTCAGTCAAAATGGCCACCACACTGCCAGAGCTGAAGTTCCCACTCTGCTGTGCCAGGTACCGAGAACAACTCAGTATCTCACTCAAACACCTGCAACAAATTATATTCAGCCCTCATAACACACTGAATAATTGGACTTGTGACCTAAAAACAGATATATCTCAAATCTCTACACCACAAAGGCCTGTGCCCCATTCCACAAATCTAAGATGACTTCAACTCCTCCACCTGAACATTATAGCACTAAGGCAGCTTTGTGGAGTGAGTGAGTGAGTGAGTGAGTTTAGTTTTACGCCGCACTCAGCAATATTCCAGTTATATGGCGGCGGTCTGTTAATAATCGAGTCTGGACCAGACAATCCAGTAATCAACAGCATGAGCTACGATCTGCACAATTGGGAACCGATGACATGTGTCAACCAAGTCAGCGAGCCTGACCACCCGATCCCGTTAGTCGCCTCTTACGACAAGCATAGTCGCCTTTTGTGCCAAGCATGGGTTGCTGAAGACCTACTCTTCTCCCGGATCTTCAAGGGTCTTTATAGAGCAGCCTGGAAAGAACACTAGCCACACCAGCACATCTACCTGTTCCCAAGAGTAAGATGTCGAAACAGTGTGGCAACCAGAGTCGCAGTCCCCAATCATATCACCCGATACAGGACAGATTTTGTTTTCAAAGGGTGCCATAAGGCACCAGACAGATAATTCAAGTGTGCCTTTGTGAAAATAAATGCCCATACCTTTTGATGATCCAATTAAACTTAAAACATCACAACAATTATGTCATTTCAATTTGTTGTTCAATAAATCAGAAAACATCATGTAAACCTGTTAACATGATAGCTCTATCAAGACAGCTAGAATAGTTCCATTTGTCCTGCACCCATTAACCAACCCAAAACTTTGATGTCGTCCAAACTGGGATTTCCTGTTATGCACACTGGCATTCAAAATGGCCGCTCCCATGCTAAACTGTGAGTTTGGGAGTGTCGCCAATACACTGACTGACTGACTGACTGACTGAGTTTAGTTTTACGCCGCTTTTAGCAATATTCCAGCAATATCATGGCAGGGGACACCAGAAATGGGCTTAACACATTGTGCCCATGTGGGGAATCGAACCCGGGCCTTCGGCGTGACGGGCCAACGCTTTAACCACTAGGCTACCCCAACCGCCCGTCGCCAATACACAGATTGATTGGTTGCAAAAAATAGTTTTAAAATCATTTCAGACGGACAAATATATCACATTTTCCATGAAATCAATCATGGTGTGCATTATTTTTATAATTCTAGTTGTGAAATACACATTGAAAATACTTCACCCATGCCATTTCAATATTTGTCATGCCCTGATATGTACATTAAGCACAATTTGATCCCTGTCATCTATCTGCTAAAGAACCATTTCTTTCCATGTTTAGACATGTCATTGATTGAGTTTTTACAGCTCCAGTTCTCCAACAGAAAATATTTCATCAGTTATTTTGGCACTCAAAGAGTAAAGAAGACTGATCTGTAGACAATATATACACACTACTGCTAACACTCAGTCAAAGAGGATATATAGAAATGGAGATGTCAGTCTTCCTACCACTGATCTCGGTTCCTCTTCTTTAGCATCCTTTGGTTGTTGCCTGGGAGTGTTTCATTGCTCTTCTGGGCACGGATGTACCTACAAACCAGGGACAATTACTGTCACATGAGACAACAGTAGGCAAACTTTTGATTCAAAATGAGTGACTGACTGACTCTGAATAAATAGGTTTGACAGAAACAGATTCAGAAACTGAACCTTGGGAAATCTAGACTTGCTTCATTCAGGGCTTTAGCATTGCAAAATGGGCGGGTACAAGGGAAAATAATGTGGTTAGGAGACTGTGAGAGAGATGTAGTATATTGCAGTGTCCAGTGATTTACATCATGTGCATTAATCCATGCAACTGGGATGTCATGACATACAACAAACCAAGTGATCGAGTCTGACCCCTGAAGAAATATATTTGCATCTTTTGACAAGCTTCTATGCCTCTTCAACATCCAATCATTTGTAAACAGGAGAGCTGATGATAGTCCTCCATGAATTACACCTCCTGACATACCTGTTCCCCTTCCTGAACTCATTCTCCAACCATCGAATTGCCTCCCGGGCTCCAGAACTCTCTTTTTTCATGAAGTCCAAACTGTCAATAACTGAAACACCAGGACTTATAACAGTAATTCCTAGAAAGACTAATGATGCTATATAAGACAGCCTGTCACCATATATATCAATACATGGACTCACCTAGACTAACAGCTAGTCTCTTAAATAAACATATTTTAACAGAAAAAAAGGTTTTAAAATTAAAATAAAATTCAATGAAAAGGAGCCCAGAGACTTTCATCATTTTCAGCCTAAAACTGTGGAAATCTAACTTGCATGGGCAACACTGGGTATATTTGTTTCAGAGTCTGTACAACAGACTAGGACTCACCATGCCTGTTTTAAGTGTGAAAGTTAATCGAGTGTCAGTGTACAGATCTAGCTGAAGATTGTGGTTAGCTGCTCTTGTATACAAAGTACGATCAAACATAGAACACAACGATGCCATACAACTGTAAACATTTAACTCACAAAACAGCATATTCAAAGTATGGATCCTAGCAAAGGGCAGCAGGCTGGCTAACAGGTCCTGGACTTACCTGAGAGGGGGATGACCATGATGCCCCTGGCACTGACGATGAGCTGCTTGACGAGGGGGAGTGAGGAGCACAGGGTGGAGGTTTCAGTGATCACGTATGGAGGGAACATGGGCTGCTCAGACTCCTGGAGGGACCCTTCCAGCTGGCTCACTTCCGCCTGACAATACAACCACCAGCATATCATCCATCACAGTATCCAATACAACCATCAGCTTACCATCCATCTCAGTATCCAATACAACCATCAGCATACCATCCATCTCAGTATCCAATACAACCACCAGCATATCATCCATCACAGTATCCAATACAACCACCAGCATATCATCCATCACAGTATCCAATACAACCATCAGCATATCATCCATCACAGTATCCAATACAACCACCAGCATATCATCCATCACAGTATCCAATACAACCACCAGCATATCATCCACCACAGTATCCAATACAACCATCAGCTTACCATCCATCAGTATCCAATACAACCACCAGCATACCATCCATCACAGTATCCAATACAACCACCAGCATATCATCCATCACAGTATCCAATACAACCATCAGCATATCATCCATCACAGTATCCAATACAACCACCAGCATACCATCCATCACAGTATCCAATACAACCATCAGCATACCATCCACCACACAGTATCCAATACAACCACCAGCATATCATCCATCAGAGTATCCAATACAACCACCAGCATATAATCCATCTCAGTATCCAATACAACCACCAGCATAGTATCCAATACAATACAATACAACCCAGCATATCATCCATCACAGTATCCAAAACAACCACCAGCAGCATCCATCACAGTATCCAACACAACCACCAGCATATCATCCATCACAGTATCCAATACAAACCACCAGCATATCATCCATCACAGTATCCAATACAACCACCAGCATACCATCCATCACAGTATCCAATACATACAACCACCAGTATATCATCCATCACGGTATCCAATACAAACAACCACCAGCAGTATATCATCCATCCATCACAGTCCAATACAACCAATACAACCACCAGCATATCATCCATCACAGTATCCAATACAACCACCAGCATATCATCCATCACAGTATCCAATACAACCACCATCATCCATATCATCCATCACAGTATCCAATACAACCACCAGCATATCATCCATCACAGTATCCAATACAACAGCATACCACATCAGCATCCATCAGTATCCACAACCACCACATAGTATCCATCAATATCCAACCACCAGCTTATCATCCATCACAGTATTCAATACAACAACCACCAGCATATCATCCATCACAGTATCCAATACAACCACCAGCAATCCATCCACCACACAGTATCCAATCATCCACCACACAGTATCCAATACAACCACCAGCATATCATCCATCACAGTATCAATACAACCACCAGCATATCATCCATCACAGTATCCAATACAACCACCAGCATATCATCCATCACGGTAGTATCCAACACAACCACCAGCATATCATCCATCCCACAGTATCCAATACAACCACCAACATATCATCCATCACAGTATCAATACAACCACCAGCATATCATCCATCACAGTATCAATACAACCACCAGCATACCATCCATCACAGTATCCAATACAACAACCACCAGCATATCATCCATCACAGTATCCAATACAACAACCACCAGCATATCATCCACCACACAGTATCCAATACAACCACCAGCATATCATCCATCACAGTATCCAATACAACCACCAGCATATCATCCATCACACAGTATCCAATACAACCACCAGCATATCATCCATCACAGTATCCAATACAACCACCAGCATATCATCCATCACAGTATCCAATACAACCATCAGCATATCATCCATCACAGTATCCAATACAACCACCAGCATATCATCCATCACAGTATCCAATACAACCACCAGCATATCATCCATCACAGTATCCAATACAACCACCAGCATATCAACCACAGTAGCAATATCATCCATCACGGTATTCAATACAACCACCAGCATATCATCCATCACAGTATTCAATATCCAATACAACCACCAGCATATCATCCATCACAGTATCCAATACAACAACCACCAGCATATCATCCATCACAGTATCCAATACAACCACCAGCATATCATCCATCACAGTATCCAATACAACCACCAGCATATCATCCATCACAGTATCCAATACAACCACCAGCATATCATCCATCACAGTACACGGTATCAATACAACCATATCATCCATCCATCAGTATCAATACAACCACCAGCATATCATCCATCACGGTATCAATACAACCATCAGCATATCATCCATCACAGTCAATACAACCACAACCACCATCACAGCATATCATCCATCACGGTATCCAATACAACAACCACCAGCATATCATCCACCATCACAGTATCCAATACAACAACCACCAGCATATCATCCATCACAGTATCAATACAACAACCACCAGCATATCATCCATCACAGTATCCAATACAACAACCACCAGCATCACAGTATCCAATCAGCATATCATCCATCCAATACAATCCAATACAACCACCAGCATATCATCCATCACAGTATCCAATACAACCACCAGCATATCATCCATCACAGTATCCAATACAACCACCAGCATATCATCCATCACAGTATCCAATACAACCACCAGCATATCATCCATCACAGTATTCAATACAACCACCAGCATATCATCCATCACAGTATCCAATACAACCACCAGCATATCATCCATCACGGTATTCAATACAACCACCAGCATATCATCCATCACAGTATTCAATACAACCACTTACATACCACCATCATATCCAATATCAACAATATCATATCATCCATCACGGTATCAATACAACCACCACCAGCATATCATCCATCACAGTATCCAATACAACCACCAGCATATCATCTATCACAGTATCCAATACAACCACCAGCATATCATCCATCACAGTATCAATACAACAACCACCAGCATATCATCCATCACAGTATTCAATACAAACCACCAGCATATCATCCATCACAGTATTCAATACAACTACCACCAGCATATCATCCATCACAGTATCCAATACAACTACCACCAGCATATCATCCATCACAGTATCCAATACAACTACCACCAGCATATCATCCATCACAGTATCCAATACAACTACCACCAGCATATCATCCATCACAGTATCCAATCCATATCATCCATCCGGTATCCAGCATATCATCCATCACAGTATCCAATACAACCACCAGCATATCATCCATCACAGTATCAATACAACAACCACCAGCATATCATCCATCACAGTATCCAATACAACTACCACCAGCATATCATCCATCACAGTATCAATACAACTACCACCAGCATATCATCCATCACAGTATCCAATACAACTACCACCAGCATATCATCCATCACAGTATCCAATACAACTACCACCAGCATATCATCCATCACAGTATCCAATACAACTACCACCAGCATATCATCAATCACGGTATCCAATACAACCACCAGCATATCATCCATCACAGTATCCAATACAACCACCAGCATATCATCCATCACTGTATCCAATACAACCACCAGCATATCATCCACCACACAGTATCCAATACAACAAACATCAGCATATCATCCACCACACAGTATCCTTTACAAAGCTGCCCATTACAGTTAACCATTTCATGCTAAGCCTTACATGTGTCAACAAATTACCCTTTATTATTATTCTATTTCCCAGACACAAGACATTCAAATGCAATAAACATGCAGTTCAGAAGTCGAAACAGATGTCAGTATGATGACATGCACATCATCAGGGACCCTCATCAACACCCAGTTAAAATATGTCCCCCACAACCTTACTCTAAACCTGTTGACTGACAGGTATCCCATATCGGGGCTGACCAATACAGTGCTGAAAACCCGCTGTCACACCAATATGTCAACTGACAACTTGTCACAATGATAAAGAACAGTAAAACAAACAAAACAATATCAACATTTACTCTTGTACTACTATCTACAATTATATATGGATGTTCCAAAAGTGTTAAACAATTACCTCTAAAATAGCATTTTTTCCATGAATTTTACATCTTTTACAAAGTAATAAGATCATGCAAATGAAATCCCATTTCACTGTTCTGAGTATGGAACTTACTGTACATGCTGAACACAGAGTTGGCCTTGCCTCATCTGAAGGTAACTATCTACTTTTATGACAAAATTCAACGATCTTCACCCTCAATTATAACCAAACCTAAGCTCTGATTATTTCTATTTTGGTTTTATTCATCACAAAAAAGAAGCAGAAAAAGAAAAAAACAACCAAACATTCCTCTGACCTGACCTTGAAAGGTCTAAAGCAAAACTTGAAAGCACCCCTTGGGAAATGTCCCTGATTTCACCAGACTACAGTCTACACTTCATGAGTTATCATGAACATATACAGTATTTAGTGTGTAACACCGAGTGTGATCTTGACTATTACTATGAAATACAAGTACGTCTAGAACATATACAGTATTTAGTGTGTAACACCGAGTGTGATCTTGACTATTACTATGAAATACAAGTACGTCTAGAACTTTCCAAAAGGTTATATTGCAGCAACATAAGCCAAGTTAGAATTCATGCCATGAGCTACTCAATGTAAGCATGTAGCTATGACCATAGTCAAAAGATTGTCACTAAAACATAACAACTACTGGCTGAACTCCAGAAAATATCAGAGGGAACATAAACTATCCCAAATGTGGTGGACATTTTACCACTAACCTTTACTGTGACCTTGAACTTACATAAGGGTTACTCCAGTCACTTTCAAATCATGGCTATGAGGAATTGATGCCATCTCCTCTCAGATGGACTAGATCAGCACTCCTACTACTTAATCTCCTACTAGCTGATGAACTAGACATGGTACTTGTTTTGTTCATATTTCTACAACCACGCAGACATACCTGAAGTCTCAGTTGAGCCATGTCTCTCATCAGCTGGTTACGCCGGCTTTCTGCATCTCTCTGGAACAGATAGACACATGTATTTTACAGCCGTAAGAAATAAATGAATTCTAAACCACCATCAACAGAGGTACCCAGTTAGGTATTACGCTCTAAACGTCCTGCTCTTCCCCATCAAGACCCCCATTAGAATTGGTCTTCAGCAACCAAATGTTTGTCGTAAGGGGTGACTGAGAGAATCGGGTTGTCAGACTTGCTGTCGCGGTGAATGCACAACAAAGTATCAAAATTGTATTGAATGTTGCTCATGATGTCTGTCACCAGATTGTCTGGTAAAGGCGTGGTTATTTACATACTGATGCCATGAAGCTTAAATATTGTCTACTGACTGACTGAGTTTGGTTTTACGCCGCTTTTAGCAATATTCCAGCAATATCAAGGCGGGGGGACACCAGAAATGGGCTTCACTCATTGTACCCATGTGGGGATTCGAACCCGGGTCTTCGACGTGACGAGACAACGCTTTAACCACTAGACTACCCCACCGCCCCTAAATATTGTCTAGATCAGCATTAAAAACTAGCAAAAAGTTATCCAAAAACAACATGACCAATCAAGCATGCCGCCATTTCAAACGCTAGGACGACAAGAATTAGGTCAACGGGAGATAACTCTAATTAACATGAAGAGCGGTAACTTAAGGCCGTTGGCTTGCCGCTAAAATACAGGAACTAACATCATTAAAAAATATTTTGATAATTAAATATTACTTTAACCACCCATAATCATCAGGTGTGACCACCAACATGAGATATATACCCTGGAATCCAGACAGATGTATAGAAACAGCTAGTGGGCAAAATAACCATGTGCACACATCTTTAATACAATGTTTGATTGTCACATGGCATACTAAGTGCTACTTAAGTGTTGCTTGAGTGATGTTTAAGTGATGTGACTGGTCTTGACGGAGACAAGGATTTATGTACCCTCTGTGTCAGTTATGTTCCTGGCGCCTGAAGGCATTTACCATTATGCACTTCGGTAATCTTTCACATTCATTGAGAAATAGCAGCCAGCCAAAATAAACTGATAGTTATTCCTCCTGGAACTATTTAGCTTGAAAGATATCTGAAGAATTTGAGATTCAAGATTTTGGTTGATGTAGTGCAAATGTAATGATTGTCCATTCGAGCAAAGAACACAAGAAATGTACCTCACATATTTGCAGGTTACATCAACAACACGGAATGGGTCTGTACATTCAAAAGTATGGCAAGTAAGAGTGTATCTATGAATAATTCTGCATTCCATACTGAAAATATAATAAAATCATGTATATGCTATAAGCTAATACTCAGAAGACCCCCTGTATCACTAATAAGTGATGCACGGTGTAATGTGGCGATTGCTTGAGGTTTCATAATATTTCATATGTATCCCATACATTTATCTAAGGTTTCAAACTAAGTGCCCTTGGCAGGACACTTTGGAAACATTAGGTAACGTTGAAAACTGGATTATTTTAATGTTCTTATTTTTGTAAATACTGACGAATTTGGAAATGTTTAATGCAGCCTTGGAGCTGAATGTGTCCCACTAACAGGTCTCGACACATATGACTATTATCACAGTTGTGAGGCTGAAGGCTTCATTAACTAGATAAGACATGTCTAAGCCTGAAGACAAAAGTCTTTCACAAGACCCAATAGTACAGAACAATGCACAAAGCTGTCAGTGAATACTCTCCTAGAGCTGAGGCCACAGTACAAAGCTGCCAGTGCATTCTTTCATGGATCTACCACGAAATTAACAAATAAATCATAAAAATACTGATCATAATAACAATACACTAGAGACAAGACCACTTGCTTCTTGTACATTACAAAAATCACTGACTACCAAGCCATTATTCTCTTGTTGCAGCTTTCAGCAATTGGTCACCAATACTTCCTCAAGCCTGATCACCAGAAAGAAAAAGAGTACTTTTTGTCACATATCAGTCCCTCCATCAGGATATCTGTAATCTGTGATAGGCTGTCATCTGTCAACACTGACAAGTTGCTTCCCTGGCTCGACCCTCATGTGATGTGCTGATAAGCCTTTATGTTGGTGTCAAGACCTACACTGTCTGATATGCACTGTCAGTGCAGCAGGTATGTAAGACGGCCATACCGTCATGTTATGATCAGCATGACAGATTAAAAATAGGCGGAATTGTGTCTGTTTTGAATTATTCTGCATCAGCAGATTGAATTTTTGCTGTAACTTCCCCTCAGTGCCTCTTCATCATTACCAATAAACTCATCTCACTGTACAAAGGCAGTAAGATTGGAATGATTGGGTGTAAATAAAGTACCCCAAATGTTATGTACTGAATGAGTAATTGGCTAAATGTCCCTCTGATTCCCACAAACACAACATCTATCATAACATGTATGGAAACATATTACCTTCAACCAAACAAATTCACTATCAACAAAAGCTCATCAGCGTAACACACTGTCAGTCAATCATGTCATCATTATCACCACAAACATACATCAGCTACCTTCCCTGACTCATGACCAAGCTGAGGAGCAGCGGCAGTAATGAAGACACCCAGGCTCGCACACTTGAGCATATCAGCAACATCACCATCAACATTACCGTTGGTTGGATAGAGGAAAACTTTCAGCCCAGAATGCATTATGTTCCTCCTGCTCGGTCCCAAGTCTGACTGACAGGTACAGTTGCTGAGATAGCTTATCTCCTCAGGGGAAGATAGCTGCCTACTCCACAAGCAGCAAAATACCAACTCAGGACCTTTGTAAATTTGCCAGATAAACTGCTCTGCAAGTGAAGGGGCTGGGGAGACGGATACACTTGGAACATGTTGGCTGCAACCGCTGTGAACCACAGGGCAGCCCACACACTCGCTGGAGCAGCAATGATTCCTGTTTTCAACATTGCCATAGTTTTTTCTAGATATGATGCTAAGGTGGAGTATTCCCGATCAAGCCTTTAGTCTGTTGCTGACATGATATGATATAATTAACACTGGCAAGCTAGTCAGTTTGTCTCATGGACATATACACAAATATCCTCCTCTCACCATCTTGTCAGTGTCTTGAGACTGACATAAACCTGCACTTGGACAGGAACTTATCAAACATTCAACATTATTTTGTACAGCATTACATATTTTCAAAGCAACAATTTTCTTGAATTCAGTGTGATTTTCATATTGCATTTGTTGCTATAAAACTAAGGATTAAAGTTTTTCTCAGTGAATTACAAGCCATCTTCGCACAGATAAAACAGGTAATACTTATGACAAAATAAAATGGGAAAATATTTTATTCAATTGATTTTAGAATTTTTACAAACATTGGCTGTAGACATGGGGATGAACATTTAACTTGATGAACATCTAGATGAAACAATGATGCAGTACTTTACTTACTGACAAGTTAGTTCTATGGTAGTTTGTTTCCAAGACCCTAGAGAATAAATTAGACTTCTACTCCTACTCAAGTCAAGAATGATCTGGCAAATCTAGATTGCCTCAGCTCCAGAAACTAAGGATTGTTGTGGGCTATGTTTGGATTTGTTTTGTATTTATTTCTATTTTTGAATACGAAACTTTTTCTGTGACTAAATGTCAGTCCAGTTATTTTTCCTTAAGTGTTTTTAGAATGGCTCAAGAATATCACATGTGTAGGACCAACATAAGTTTGAAAAAGAAATTGTTTATGATAGTATTTCCGTTTCTATTTTTGAACAGATATGACAAAACATGTGACTGAGAAACACAACACTTATTAACTGAAATACACATGACACATCAGCAGTCATATTCCATAAATAATTATCTACCTTTACAAGGTTAATGCCAGAAGCAAAGATTTCCCTTTGAAGATGAAACTACATTCATATTTCATAAACAAGAAATATACATCGTAAATGCCAGGGAATAATGTGAATTATCTGCCCGAAACCGATTCAACTGAGGACACAAGGAATACCAGTGGTGAAAAGTATATGTATGTATCACTAAAATCAGGATGACACCAGGCGTTCACAGCAAGGGTAAGGTCTTCCTGCCTTTCTAGAAGCACCTGTAACGGTTTCTCTAATGGTTTCTGTTTTTGTATTTAGTTTGGTAGTTGGGGTCTGAGGGTGTATAATCTGAGGGAATACACAGAATATAATGCATCTGGTCCAGAGACAAAAGCTGTTTCATTATTTCTTATCAGAGTGAGTCAACATGGCCACAGCAAGCCTTGCTTGTGAGGTGAGGTGAAATTGGGTTTTACGTCGTGCTTGAGAATATTTCGCTCATATGACGACGTGCATGCGTGTGTATGTGTATGTACGGCTGCTTGTACTAGCCCAGACTTAAGCTGGTTATATAGTGCTAGCTAGCCCGCTGAGATACCATGCCGCAGTGAAGCATGAATACCCCACTCAGACACATTATACTGACTCTGAGCTGACCAGTCCTTGTTGTACCCATTAATGCCGAGCGCCAGGCAGGGACCAACAAGTACCATATTTTAACGTCTTTTGGTATGATGCGATCGGGGATCGAACCCGCGACCTTCCGCTCTCCCGGGCGGACGCTCTAACCACTACACCACGGAGGCGGTCGCCTTGCTTGTAATGGTTATTATCATGTTGTATGTACAGTACAGTTCCACTGCTACAGTCAAATCCATTACCATCATCTTGTTCCAGCCAATCCAAGAGGCCTCAAAACAAATTGAAAAATAAATCATTAAGTCATTTTGGATAAATTTGACATTACCTAATTTGAAGTGAACTAGCTTAATCAAGCGAATAATTACTTAATGAAACTATGCACAAAATGTTTAAGTGCAGCATTAAGTAATCTGAAGAAAGATCTTATCAGTAACACTCCCCCTCAGCAACATATGTCAGCACCAAATATTGGCAAGAGTTATGGAAACACAGCCATATTATATTCAGTAAATATAACCAAGTGTCTGCAAGTGCAATCTCAGGATTATTTGTTTTGCTTTGGCTTGTGGAGACCTGACACACAAGAATGTTTTTCC